TTGATCTTCATTTCCGGTAATTAATCAGTGATTGTTTTTTCCAGTTTCATATTCGTTCTGTCAATGATTCATCTAATGATGTTAATTTCAAGTCATTATACTGTTGTATTTATACTTACTGTTTTCAAGAGATTGGTAGCAATTAACCATTGGAGGTTTCAATAGTTAATGGTTTTTCCAAGATATGTTTTTATACCTTTTCTTTGGGATTTGTAATGAATTCAATTGTATGACATCATAACGATTTCAGCATATGAATGAAAGTGCTGTACAGTAATTCCGGTAATAAAATTATGGTATTGTGACTAGGATGAGTAATTTATTCTTTCTAAGCAATGTGATGTAAGAATCAAAATGGAACTGGAGTTTAAGGTTTAGCTCACTATATCCTTGTGCTCAATTCCCAGCCTGAAATGAACCTGTGAATATGACAATGACAGTTTTGTTCTTCATAATTCTTCATAAAAATTTAAAAGCTTTCAGATTCATTGGATTAAATTTTCGTATGTATTTATGTTTATACATAGTCAACGTAGTAAAAGAGTGAGGTTGACTAAATTATGTGACGGAAAGCTGACGAAAAAAAGGACAGAAATCGGTTACACTATACATTGGGTAATCCCCCATTATCACTGTTTTATAATTTCCATACGACGGAGCAATATTTGAGCCTGGAATAGAACAATATAAGCATAATTGACAGTTAATTCTTTAGATTTTTCTGGACCGAAACTCTTTTCATATTGATTAGATTGTTTAAATTATGCCCTAAATACAGTAGATTTCAAATCTTACATATATCAAACTTCGATGGGAACAATTATCGGCATTTTGAATTTGGCCATTTAAGCGGGGATTTTTGCTAAAATATAATTGGCCAAAGTTATAAACATCTCTGCCATAGTTTTTTTTTTCTTCTACAATTATAAAACTTTTGACAGTAAAGGTCGTAATTTCTCCCTCTACAACTAAATATTGTTAATAAAGTTCCTTAAGGCTTCTGAATTTATATTTTATTCAGCGTTGTTAAAGATTATTCGATTTCAGAAAATTAGTATAATTGACTGTTTCAGTAATTCTTCATTATCTTCACTTTATTAAAAAATATATTATAGTCTCCCAAAAATAAACGTTTAGTTTTGGTAATAGAAATGAATCCACTTAATACTTCATAATCTCAAATTATTGTCGATAATCATATTTAGGGGAAACTTCTCAAACTGGAAGAGAAGTGTAGTATCAAACAAAATAATCTACCATTTCTTTTATATCCGAGAAAAATTCATATCAATTCATTATATATGATACAATCATGATGTCGAATATCACCTCGGCAAAATAGCAGACATGGAGAAGTCAATGTTTAGTTGACATTTCAGTATGTCAGGGTTATTTTAGAGAAAGCCTTTTATTCATATTATGAAATTACCAACAAAGAAAAATCTCAGCATCATATATTATTCGGATCAACCATCATTAGCTTAGTATGAAAAGGATAAATGGTACAATACCCCAAGGAGTTGTAAAAAAGCAGGACAAAATTGCATTAAAAAAAATGTGGCGGGAAACACGAGTGTAATGTAATGAAAAGAGGACTGAGTGGAGAGGAAATTTTAACGATAATACTAATTAAGCATTGTTGAGGGATAATGACTAGTTAATAAGGAAACTTGATTTAATGAAGAACGAAACTGCAACCAAAAATTAGGTGAAGTGATCAAATGCGGTAATGTATTTATTTGTTTGTCAAACTTGCCATAATGAAGGAAGAGAATGGAAAAAATCAAACCGAAAATCTAAATGAACAGATAAAGGGAAGAGAATTTGAAGGAGAGAATTCTCTGTCGAAAAATAATGCGCAGATGACCTCTAAGGAATACTATATTAAATTACAATTCCGCTTAATCAGTTATTTTGTTTTAGAAAAATTTTTATCTATTTACTATGATAATTTCTTTTTTTGAAAACACTAACGAATTCGCCAATAGCACTGAAACATCCTTTATCGCATTGAAATTTGAATGATTTAGTATAAAAGAATTAAACACATTTATTTTAAAAATTTGAATTGCAGAGATTTCAGAGAAATGACAATTTTGGTTTCGGTATCGCAAAATTAAATATTTAGAGAAAATAGTTGTTTTTCTACAATTTGTCAAAAAACAAAATTGCTATAACCAAATATCTCGACAAAATAAAATAACTGGATGGTTGAAACTTGGTTGTACCGTTATCATATACATCACTTCTTTTCTGCTTATCCACTTTAATCCATTCTTTTGTCAT